AAGTCCCCTCTCTCATCCCTCAAGTTATTTGTCTGTCCAAGTGCAGGTCATCAGTTACTGCTTTCTTTCTTCCAGTTCAGGGAATCAACCAACCTGCCTCTCTTCCTGGCTGCAACAACCTGTCCTCTTCTTCCTGATCTCTTCTCCCCATGAGCTAGCTAAAAGATTTTCCAATCCTTCCCATATACCCATAGCAGTGTCTGTTCTTTGACCCCCACCCTGCTTCTCCTCCTCCAACTAGCACATTATTTCCTTTACTATTGGTCACTAAAAGGAAATAAATGCACACATCTTTTGACCCAGAAATTCTACTTCTATAAATGTATATACTCCTACATGTGCACAAAGACATACAAAGATATTTAATGCAGTATTTTATGTGACATGCCAGCATTTATTGAAAAAAGTATAAAAGCTTGCATGCATATAGACTATCTTGAAGAATACACAAGATACTACAGGTGGTCACTTCTGAATAAGTTAACAGGGAAATTAAGGGATGAGTAGGGAGGGTACTTTTCATAGCATATGCTTTTGTACCTTTTGAAAGATATAACCAAATACATGTTTTGCTTTTGTATTAGTTTTCTCAAATCACTTTTAAAAAAAGCAGTGAATAATGCTGTTGTGTTCTCTGCCCTTAATAAATGTACTCTTGTGACCCTCTTTAGGTGATGTCACAAGTGGAAATTCTCTCCTCACAACAAGAGGCATTCCCCCTACCCATGGTGCCTTCCTTTTCAGAATATATACATTCTCTAAATATATAGTTAGAATATCCAAAATAGGTATGAATGGATTAACTTTTACCTCCAGACTCTGGTGAAATGAATTTATATCTCAGAGAAATTCTAGACTGACTTATGTCCAAGTTCAAACTCTACCACATGTAATACAGGAAAAATCTACTGAGATCATCTCTGACTCTGTTTCAGCCACAAATCCTTTAGGCACACTTAACCTTCAAACACAGGCATACAGATTTTCTGTGCACCATTTTCACTGAGGGAATGAATACAGTCCTCTTCCTGCTATCCCACTTTCACTCCTCCAAACTCCCAGAAGCCTACTGCATGATATATTCCACTGTTGAAAACAAGATTCTTCTTATTTCCTCTACTAACAGAAGATACCAGGACTTTGTCAATTTAATCAAGGCCTCCCTATAAAACATTTAAACCTGCGTTCAACCTCTTCTCTGGGATGGATCCTTACACAGACACATGGGATTCCTGGGACTAACAAAACTCCTGAATACTATATCTCTGGTTAAAAGATAAAATGAAATGGCAGTAAGTTCATAAAAGAGAGTAATGTACTATGTACCTGGAATACCAGATGCCCTATTAACTGGCTAGGTTCAAAAGTATTTGAAGTTGTAGACTCTAGAATGGGAAGAATTTCCTGTACATAATCATGAATAACATTCTAGAAAGTAACTGGTTTACAATAAATACTATATTGCCATTGGACGAATATGGAAATGTGCAACAAATAGGAAAACCTAAGCAATTTAACTAAAGTAAGAATAGGAAAATAATATCTTTAAAACTGTCCTCTGTACTTTGTACAATGTAACAGACATTTGCCCAACAAATATTTCTCAAGTACCCAGTATGTATGAAGCACTATTATTATACAAGTCAAACATGCAATCTGCAAAGAGTAGCTTAGAGACTAGTCAAATGGGGGATGAGGGAGAAGAGGATTCAGGCCAAAGATATTCTTACTCACCAAAGCCCAGATATGACTTAAATTTATTTAATATTCTTTGCATGTATTTTGTAGCACAGAAAATAGTATTGTAACGCAACATTTTCTGCTCAGGAATCAAGAGCGCTGTGTCATTGTTCCCAGACTCCCAAGTTTCAGGGAATGACCAAAAAATTACAGTAGAATGACCAAAAAAAGGGTTAATAATTTCTTTCTAAGAACATTAAAAGACTATGTAACTCATAGCCTTCATTTCATATACTTATGTTTTAAAAAGGACAGTTCTCAGAATTCAAGAACTAAGCAAATTTAGGTGTAAGAAAACCTCAGTATGCGAGTTTTTCTCGGTATGTTTTTCCTAGTTTTTCTCCCATTTTACTGTGAGTGAAAAATTCATAAGAGACCAATATTTGAGCATCAAAGAAAGGCAAAATGAAAAAAATATGGTCTTTAGAGTCAGAGAGCCCTGGTTTCAATTTTTATGACTGCAGGTTAAGTCACTTAACCACTCTGAGACCTTTTTCTCAGGAATATTATCTCTGAAGTCTGTAGGACTAATGATATATATATATACATATATAAAGCACTTATTTAGCATTAAATTTGGCCCCTAGGAGGTGCTCAACAAACAAAAGCAACTTCTCTTGTTAAAATTAATTTTGGGACTTCCACTTCTAGTTACGGCTAGTACTGAACTAGCCATCCCACTCTACGTAACCATAAAACTAGATGAATATATGAGGCAACTATTTCCAGGCATTGAACAGGCAGCAGTAGACTGCAATATCTAAGAGAAAGGGAATTCATGACAGCCCTGCCTCTCATTGAGGGGGTAAATTCCTCCCTGTGGCACAGCAAGCTAGAATTGAAGTAGAGCAGGAAGGTCCTACTGTGCTAGGACTAGGTTAGAGCTTGGGGCAGATAAAAAAGCTAGAAGCCTTGGTCAGGGCACCAGAGAGGCAGAATGTGTGCAGGATGGGAGGGACTGAGAAGGGGCTGAAGTCTATGTGGGGGTCACCCATGAATGAATTCTTGACTGAGCACTGGCTGCATACACACAGGGCAACACTCTCCAAGTTTACTCAAGAGTGGCTGCTTTGGAACTGAGAGTCCCACAGAGATACCTGGAGTCTAGCAAGCAGTGCTAGAAGATTTCGGAGTGCTGGTCAAGGCAGACATCCAGCTGAGATACAAGAAAGGCCATGACTTAGATTAAGGACATCTTAAAAGGTATGACTTATAGATATGCCCTAACAAGGGGCTGGAGGAAAACCACCGTGGCCCAGCACCAGGTGTGGAGCCCAGACAGGGCACGGAAGGCAACTGTGCAGAGCTGGATGGCAGTGGCGGTGGGAATAGTGAAGAATGCTTACATATAGGTCTAACAAGTCAGTATTTTTAAGGTAATGAGAATCAGGTTCATTAGAAGAGGGAGTTATAAATATGTAGAGGGAGAAAATGAGAAACAATCCTGTGGTGCTGGAGTGAAACTGGAGAGATCATTGTAAATGCACTGGTTTCAGTCTCTTTGAATATGTACCTATAGATACAGAATATAGATCCACTGAGAAGGCCTGGGATTAGTGACATACTAATAGCAACTAACATACTAAGTGTCTTATTTTTAAATACTAATCTCTACTAAAAAGGAACCAGGCTCCTCAGAGAAATGATGGATTTCAAAGCTGGGGTAGGGAAAGTCCAAGATGTCAGAAAGAAAAATGAAGTGCTCAAAGAATGATGGGGACAAGAAAAACAACAAAGAAGTCAGTATGAAGGGCTTTCCACTGGTCAAATCTAGAACAAATTGAGCACAAGAATAATGGGATTCCATGAATACACAATGATTTAAGTAAATGAGTAAGTTGAACATTTGATAAAAAAAAAAGGTATTGAATAGTCTTAAAGTACCACCTATAAAATACTTACTGATTACACAGGAAATAACTTTACAGTGGAGAAGTTTTACAGACATCCCCTTAACCAAGTGATCAAAGTTAACACTGCCAGTTTTTGAACAAGTCACGTCACACAATACTTAACAGCATACAATGAAAACATATGATTTCTGCGATATTTCTGTGAGAGATGCAACCTGACTCTAATCATGAAGTGTATCAGACAAACCCAAATTGATAGACGTTTACAATACAACTGGCCTTCAAAAGCGTCAAGATCATGAAAATCAAAGAAAAACTGAGGAAACATTCCAGACTGAAGATTAGGTTTTTATAAAGACAAAATACTCTTAACAGCCTGTCAATATATATAAAGATCTCTATTGGTATGCTGACAAAGAAAGACTACCATAGGCACCCAGAGGCCTTAACCAAAATTAAGCTTTTCAAACTCAAGTCTTACAGGCAAGACTTAAGGAAAAACGTTACACAGTGCCTCCATCAATAGTACATTCATACGTTGGATTATGATCTAGCTAATCAGCTGATATGGACAGATGTCAAGATTTTGTTAGAGAAAATTTAGCCTAGTATATACAACATATTCCCTTTTGTATGTATGCTTGCATATATGTATGTTTAAGATAGCCATACACATGGGCCTGCATATACACAGACAATTTCTGGAGAGATACATAAGAAAATATTAATAATGATTAGTTCTGAGAAACAGGAATAGTCTTAAAGGAGACAGGGCACTTTCCTCTCCATCTTCTACCCTTGTACGCTCAATTCTCAACAAGAAATCTTTTTAAAAAGTAAAGTCATCCTAGTAGTTATAAGAACATATAGCACCCAGATCATGGTTTCTAAGTACCACTCCCAACTAAAATGAAACTCCTTGCAGAAATGGCTGATTCTACATATAGGTCAGAGTAAGTACAAAGGGAATTATGGACATCTTGTGCCAGAAAGCAGAGCAGCGCTCAGAAACTAATGACGACATGTGAAAAGGACAAAGAAGCCAGTGTGAGGGGGCTCCCACCAATCAAACATGGGACAATCTGAACATCAAGAAGAATCACTATAAAAAACTATCAAGAAAGGCAAGGAAATGATTATTACAAGAGTCAAGAGAGCAGTTAACTATGGGGAAGAAAGCATACAGTGGGTTTCTGGAATGCTGGTGATGTTCTACTTCTTGACCTGGAAAATAATTACATGAATAGGTGCTTTATAATCATTTATTAAATTGCATATATTTGTTGTGTAGATTTAAAAAAAAATATATATATATATATCTCATAATTTTAAAACAAAAATATTAAGTTGAAAAAAAAATTTTAAGTAAAAACAGGAGCTTTTTAGAAAGAAAATACAGTATTTTACCTGCAAGAATATGTAGGTTCTCCTACTTTAAAAACACGACCACAAAGATGAGAAGGTTTGTTTGCTTGTTCAAGTTTCGGAAATCCCAATGCAGGATCTTCACCACAAAGGTACCATTCCATCGGTCCCAACAAAACATGCTGGGCTAGCATGTCTTCTTTCTGTGGAAAAGGGTTGGGACCCCTGCAGTAGATTTTGGGTACATAGTGGGCTAAATGCTGGTATACTTCTCTAGTGAGGTCAGTTGCTTGCAGCCATTTCTTTAAAAAAAAGAAAAAACAGGTTTAAAGAATGTCAATGAACTTAATTTGAATAAACTTACTCTATTTTCTTTTAAAAGAGAAGGTATAAAAATTATGATGAAAGAGTCTTACAGTTTGTTGACAACACTCATCACTGTATGTCACCTTCCAAAAAGGGTAAAATTCATTTAGAACTGTACTAAAGTGCCAAATATTTCAGAACTTACTCAAAATGAAAGTAAATTAATGTGAAATGAGCCCCTCTCCTCAAAACAACTCCTAAAGCAATCTTCTGTAGACAGTACAGGAAAATAACCCCAACAAATCGTCATGTGGGACACTAGCCATTGAGCCCAATCTGACTCCTTTTCGAATGCTTTACTCAAATTGTGATTTTGGATTCTGTCAGTTTGCCAACAGGAAGAACATGCAGCAAACATAAACAACCACACACTAGATATTTCTCACTGATTAATGAGGTGATATACTGGTCTCTTATGCCAGTCACAAGAGACTCTGTTGTAACAACTACATCTTCTTTCCCTGATCAACCTCTCTATAAGCCCTTTGCCCTTTGCACTCCTTGCTAAAAACAAACAAACAAAAAGCCACTTTTCTTGGTCCCCTAACTTTATGTCCAAGTACCTGTGATAACTACAGCTGGATATTTAACAGATACTGTAATACTGTGATTATAAAAAGAAATTTCTATTTGGTCTTTTCCCCATTCCTGGCATGGAGCTCCTATAAAAATGAAGTTTCCTAAGTGATAAGCGAGAAAAATGGTGAGAAGAGTGTCTTTTGTTATTCATAACAAGCCCCCTTAACCACACCAGAGTTACTGTTAATGAGGTAACATTTGGAAAGTCCCTAAGGAGATGGGGAGCTGGTTGTTAGGGGAACAAATCATGTGATTAGAAGGTTAGAAGTTACAGCCTCTACCCATAACCTTGAGGAGAGGTGAAGGACTGCAGGTTGAGCTAATCACTAATGGCCAATGACTTAATCAATCATGGTTGTATAACAAAGTCTCCACAAAAATCCCTCTACGTCAAGGTTCAGAGAGCTTCTGGGTTGGTCAACACAGAAGTGCTGGCATGCCCAGAAAGGGCATGGAAGCTCTGTACCCTTCCCACATAACTTGCTCTATGTATTTCTTTCACCTTGGTTTTATATCATTTTATAATAAACCAGCTATCTAGTAAACAAACTGTGTCCCTGAGTTCTGTGAGCCATTCTAGCAATTATCAAACCCAAAAAGAGGGTCATGGGAACCACCAATTAGTAGCCAAGTCAGACAAAAGTTGTGGGTAACCTGAGGATCCACTGCTTGTGACTGGTATTGTACAAGGTGAGGGGGGCCATCTTGTGGGACTGAGCCCTTAATCTATGGGATCTGATGCTAAATCCAGATGTATAGTCAGAATTGAACTGAACTGGGATCTACAGAGAATTATAGAGAAATGCTTGGTGTGGGAAAAAAACCCACATATTTGGTGGTCACAAGTATTAGTGTGAGGGTAGAAAGAAACAGAAGAAACAGAGTTTTCCTTTTCAGACACCACCTCAATATGCCCAAAATTGACTTCACAACTCCCCAGCCCCCAGAACCCACTATTTTTTCCTATTTTAGATATCAGCATCTTACCCAGGAATTCAAACCAGAAAAACCTAAACATCTTCCTTCTTCACCCCAATATCCAATTAATTATCATGTCCTGTCTATTAGGCTTCCTAAATATCTGTTGAATCCATCCACTTCTTTCTCTCCATCTCTACAGGCACTACCTCTACTACCCTACTCCAAATTCCCAACATCCATCTTTCACCAGTATGTCCTAACTGGTGATCCCCACTAATCTTGCTCCTCTACCATCCATTTCCAACCTCCCTACCACTGTAAAATGCCACTATGATCATGTCATTCAGCTTCCCCTTGTATTTAGGATGAAGTCATGTCCCTCACATGGTTTTCACAAGAAAACTTGCCTTGTATCATACATATGCTCCAGTTTTCTCCTCCTGACCTGTACTGCTCCTCTCTATTTTGTACTCATTCTTTAGATGTTTCACTTTCTCTAAGATGCCTTCTTAGCCCATCCCTCATCCCCATTTCCATTTCCACATGCCCAAGACATAAAACAGAACCTGGCCCCAACGGACATTTAGTAAAATCTGCTAACTAAATGACTATAAATATTTTTTACATTACTTACAGCCACACAACATTGATACTGCAAAAATGATATTCAGTGTGGCTTTAATGAAAGTAGAGATAAAGTAGATCAGGCCTGCAGTCTCTAAAAAACCAAACTAAATAAGGCCTAGATTAGACATCCTTCAAACAACTTCCTTTCTTTTCTCTTTCTGCTTCCTTACTCTTAAGTCTTTTCCCTGTATTCTGTCATTTATCCCTGCTTCCCCTGCCAATTCCGTCTGCATGTTTGTCTATCATAGTGCTTTGTGTAATTACAACTCATTTTGGCTTTAAACCAAGTAAAAATTTAAAATCAGAAAACGTGAAATGACTCACCTCTATAAAAATGCAGTTAACTGAATTGCTAACTCATAAGTCCAAAGTTTACCTATGGATTACAATCTAAATTCCATATTATATCCTTGTTAAAAAAAAGTGATGTCTAACACCATGAGACAAAAAAGTGTAAGGTACTCATTTTAACCATTACCTGTACAATCTTCATACACTTTCTTTCTTCTAAAAGTAACAGAGAGATTTTAAATATTTGTAAGGTGGTATATACTAACTTTTTAGTTAATTTCACATTTTCAGAAAACTTTTACTAAAAATGTAAAAATCCTGTTTATAAGTTGAGATATTGAATGGAAACTAGTAACTGAGAAGAGTGAAAACATCTCATCCCTACAGTGAAACTACCTTTTCCAAATGCTACTAACTTTGTTGTGGTTGCTTTATGCAAGTGGGAAAGAGACTAAATTACGCTGAAAAGAACCGCACTTCCTGGGAGACAATCCCACAGGTTTAAGAATTCTTTTCCTTTAGAGAAGTGGCTCTAAATCGAAATAACAAATACACACACATATACACACACACAGTTCAGTAATGGTAAAAAGGACATAAAAAAAAAAGCTGTCAATAGTAAGAGGCAGAGAACTATCAACTAAAAAGCAAACTGGAATCTAAGTCTCTGAGCTAAAGAACACTTTTTTGGCCACATCTAAGGGTAAATGTCCAGTTTTTCATCTATTGTCAGTAAACTCTACTTCAAAATACGAATGAAAATTGTCAAATTATCCCAAGCAATTTACTGTTTATGGCTGAAGAATTAAGCACTAAGATTCAAAGAATTCATGTCTATGATTCTAGAAAGTTATTAAAAAATTGCTTCAGGCAATTTTAATTCATGACACATTTAAGGTTTTATTTTAAAAGCAATTTTTGTTTTTATATTTCAGTCCATTTCTCTTAAAACTCCACTTTTGTAGAGTTTTACTCTGGAGAGAATAAAAGGTGATGTTTTCTAAAAGAAATTGTTGTCTTGTGATTACAAAAACACTGACAGGTCAAATCTGTTCATAGATTTCTTGAACAACAAATTCAGAAACCAGTATCAGCTTGTGCTTAAGAAAAGAAAATCAGCCACCTTTTATATTAGTGAAAAAAAAGCGTTTTATTCTAAGTATCATTTGTTATATATTATTATAAATTATTAACAAGACATAAATATATCTTCCTTCTTTCAAGAAAGGTAGGCATAAGCTCCAAAATTCAAAACCACCTAGATTTAGGATCTGTTACAGGCATTTTAATTTCATAAATTTAAACTCAACATATAAAGCAAAGTACCTTTACATGAAAATTCTGATATTGAATTGTGACTGACAACAGTATAGATTTTTTTTATTAAAGTTTTGAAAAGTGAAAAGGAAAAAATCTCTGATTGCCTTTCAGAATAACGGCCTAGTTCTCAAAAGAATAAAATCTGCAGCTTTTCATATTAGTTCTCACTAACACAAGCTTATGGTAACTTTCTTTTAAAATGAAAAATTATTGAGATTTCTGATTTGGTTGCATGTTAATTTATCTGTATTTTAGATACTTGTAGCTGTCACTCCAATGTTTACAACAAAGTAATAAACTCTACCTTACTATCAGTCTTGGATAAGGGAAGTAAAGAAACTGTCAACTCATTCCACTGAAGTAAACATGTTATGACAATATTTTGAGGAGCTTTCCTTTTTCGAATGTTAAATTTAAGCCTTGGGGTAGAGAGCAAGTTCAATAAACACAAAAATGAAAGAATCCCTAGAGAAATAAAAAAAAGAAACCTTTTATTACAGTATCTATTATTCTATACCAAATTAAAATGGTATCCTTTAACAACAGTTGATTTTGTTTTCAAAAGAGGACAGTCAACAGGTAAGTTAATTATAAAACAACATTTTCTAGTGCGGAAATGGTGTTTTCACTATATTAAGAAAAATTTTAAATCATATTAAGAGTTCAAGTGAAAGCACTCACACATCAAAGTAATATAGAAATTCAATAACAAAAGACAAAAAATCTAACTTAAAAGTAGGCAAAGGATCTGAATCAATACTCCCAAAGAAGATTCACAAATAGCCAATAAGCTCATGAAAAGATGTTCATATAACACCATGAATCATTAGGGAAATACAAATCAAAACTACGAGATACCACTTCACACCCAACAGAATGGCTGTAATTAAAAGACACAATAACAAATGTTATTAGCAAGGATGTCGAGAAATACACTGGTACCCTCATACACTGCTCCTGGGAGGTAAAATGATGCAGTCACTTTGGAAAACAGTTTAGTGGTTCCTCAAAACATTAAGCACAGAATTACCATATGACCCGAGCAATTCCACTCCTGAGTTACATGCCCAAGGGAAATGAAAATAGCTAGCCTTGAGAAGCGTTGGGCAAGTTGTATTTGTTATAAAATCAATTCTACTCCCCACCCCGCAAAAAACAGAGAGAGAGAAAATAAGTAAGAGGGCTACCTTAATATGCTAAACTTAATTGAAGAGAGAGCTTAAATGCCTTTATTTTTGAGGCACACTGGTTAGGATACATGGAAACACAAAAGTCCTTCCTCCTATAATAAAATAAGAAAGCAGTGTGTAAATAAAGGCATGGGAAAGATGACACTAGTGCTTATTAAGTAATTTTAAGTGGATGTGATCCCAACAAATTACCAGTAACAGAAGTCTAATGGCTGTAATAACTTTCTTTACTTGTTTACCTTCTAAAGTTACTTTCAACATGAGAAACCTTATTAATTCGTTTTAGTTTGTGATAAAGGGCTGTGTGGAGCTTGAGCTGAAAGAACAGTTTTTAAGTGTTACGCTGTTTCCACTAAATACAGACAATAAACCCCTTACAAAACAAGGCTAGATTGTATAGCTGGAAGAATCTTCTATTATAATATTACAGCACCTTCGTTAACAAATTTTGTTGGCCTTCAGACTAAACATTTTTCTTTTCATCTTACTGTTCAGAAAGCTATTTAAAAATAAACAGAGCAAAAGTAAAACATAGCTCAGACTGTGATCTTCGCAAACTCAAAGTAGGTCCAACTTAATAAAATTTGACTTCATTTCCCGTAGTTTGCCCCACTGCATTTGCTTGAGACTTTCACTGCATAAGAACTGGGAGCGCTGGTCTTTAGCACCAATTTTATAAGGTTCCCTAGGAGTCCCAACAAGTTTAAGCTCTTAATCACTTGACAACTTGCATTTCAGAATTGGGGAAATAGATTACATAGACTGTATCATTGGGCCAACAGACAAAATTCAGTGGGAGCAAAAAAGAAAAATTACTTTGAGGCAAATAACATTAGATATCAATATGGATATTGGGTAAGGTGACATGGATAGGGAATAGCTATCATTGTACCATTTTACTGTTTCCTTGTTACATTGTTTTCATTTTCTTTTTCAAATCTCTTTGATAAACAAAAGGCAGATGGGGACTGAAAATCCTGGAGTTGTTGCAATATTAAGCAGAAAAGTAAATGAAAAAAGACCGAAACAGTTGGTCTAAAAAAAAAAAAAGCAAAACCTCACCATTCAACAATGTATTTCTTTAAATTTTTCACATTTAATCCTGTCATTTATTTCCTCTCTGACTTTAGAGTCCTCACCACTTCACACCCAACTCCTCACTGACCAACAGCCCCACAGTGTCCCACTAAAATTTGGTTCCTAACATTGATTGTTGACTTGCATGCAAAGGTTACTCCCTTCCTAGTCGCTTTTTAAACTGGAAAGGCTTAGAAGTGGGGCCGAAGTTGTTCTGGTCCATTCATAATCATTCTGGACAACTCTGCTATTTATACGAGCATATTCACATTACAGTTTTGGTACAATACTTTGAACAGCTTTAAGTTTGGGGCATAACTGCTCCTGCTGTGCTGTGACCAAACCTATTAGCTTCTAGTTGTTGAAAGCTGCTCTGTCAAAGTTATATAACGTTTGTTCTCCATCCAACTACCCCCAGCTCCTAGGAAACTCATTTTATATTTATTTTTTAAAATCTCCCAGCCTGCACTACTACTTCTCAACTCGGTAAACGTGTGGCGACCTACTTTCCGCACATTCACCAACGTTGTCGACTGATGAAACGAAAGCAGAAACGCACCGAAGGTGGTGAAGAGGGAAAACAATGTTGGACGCATCCTTTGGTGCTTACGGCAGTCTGAGAAACAGTAGATATTCGGTTAAGGTGGTCTCTCGGTGGAGGAGGCAATGCTCCTATTACCTCAGGAAAAGGCGTCAGGGAGATAAAGCACGGCGAGTATACACCCCAAAACCAGGAAGCATCTTTCCCTCCTGGCAGAGGTCATAAGAGCTGGCATAAGGGTCAAAGGCCACTGTGTTGGGGACTTAATAGGCGTGTAAGGGAAAGGAAGAATAATATAATGAAGAGCTGTTGGTTTTCCTGGGCAGAAATGAAATGTAAAGGTGGCTGGCGCACAGAGCAGCTCTGCGGGCTATTTGAGGATAAAGAAAAAGGGAGAGGCAGGCTCGGTGGCCTCCCCGAGTCGTTACCCATTAGACGAGACTGGACAGCCTGGCTCTGTCGTTACCCCAAGTCAGGACCGGGCCACTGCGAGAACTCCAGGAGTCGGTTCCTCCCCAGGGGCGCGGCCTGTAAGGTCCGGACGTCCCCGCCAGGGTCTCGGTACTCACCCCTGCGGTTTCCTCAGCCGAACAATCCAGCAAACTCCGGTCGATGGCTTGCACCTCGGGCTCCAGCTCCGACGCCATCTTCCCTCCTCCTCCTCCCCAGCCCTGACGCCGCTACCGCCGTCCCGAGGGCCGCGGCCTCTCCACAGCCACGCGGCCAAGAACGCCACCTCTGCCCCAGGCGGTCGGTCCGGAGTCGTCCAGGAGGCCGCGGGTGGAGAAGACGGGCAGCAGTGTGAGGTGAACCTGACAGGAGGGACAGCAGCCTTTTGCGTTCCCTCCTGGGCTCAGCGCCCAAGTCAGTGCATCGTCCCTGCCCAGCAGGACACGGAGGACCTTGGGCCCGACACTCTCGTTCGCTTCTATCGCGTCCCGCGCTGGGAAAGGGTCAATAACACCAAAGAGAGGAAGCAGAGCATTCTGGTAACTGTGGTCATCCTTAGCACAGCCAGGAAGAAGGTAGAGTTCTTGCAGAGTGCTCTGCGAGGGCATTGTGGGAGTTGTAGTCCTGTCCTAAGGAGAGAAGGCGCAAATGGTAGATAAGCGGACGGGGCTCTGCTCCACTACTAGAATCATGGGAAGAAACCACTGGAAAGACGTGCCCCACGTGGGAAGACGCAGAAAAGTCAGGTATTATGGGAACTGTAGTTTTATTCCTCCAACCCCGTCTGTTCATTTTTGTATTCCCCAGATGCTAGAACCGAGCCTGGCGCGTGGTAGATACTCAAGTATTTCTCAAAGCTAGCATATAGTAAGCACTCAATACTTGTGGAAAGAATTACATCTTATTCCTATAGTTTTATGACCCTGCTTTCCATCATCCCCTCATCCTTTAGGATAGTAATCAAGGTGAACATGACTTTGTTATGGTTCAATCCAGAAAAAAGTATGCATATATCTGCATAGATATCTAGAATGATGTATCTTGAAAAGTTCTCTGTGTTACTTTCTCTTTTGCCCAACTTCCTTGCACTGATGCACTCCCTAATCGGTCAAACTGGGGACAAACTGGGATCATTACAACCTAGAAACAAAGATAATGCCTCTTTAAGGGCCCTAACAGAATGAAAGCGGTTAAATAGATTCTAAAAATAATTTCTCTCCTTCATATTATTATTTTCTTCCTTCTATTACTTTTGGATTGATTTTAATTTTTGTTTTTGTTTTTCTAAATTCTTGAGTTGGATGTCTGCTTATTAATCTTTTCCTTCTTTTTTCAGTATGTACTTCTGAGGCACTGTTCTCAAACTTGAGCATGCATGAGAATCATCTGGAGGTCTTGATAAAATACAAATTTCTGGACTCCACCCTCAGAATTTCTGATTCAATAGGTTTTGGGTGGAGACTGAAGGACACATTTCTATTAAGTTTTGGGGTCATTCTTCTGGCCTGGCAACCAACTTTAAGAATCACAGACTTATTAATGCAATACATTTCCATTATACACTGTTTTAACCACCTTCCCCAAATTTTGGTATACAATGTTTCCTTTATCATTCATTTCCAAATATTTTCTAATTTTTCTTCTTTGACCCATGTAGTATCTTTTAAAATTTTCGAATCTGTATGGCATTGTTATCTTTTGTTACTGATTTCTCCAAGTATTGTATTGTGAGCAGAGAACATGATCTATATGATATAGATTATTTGATATTTGATTACATTTGTTTTGTGGACTAGGTTATTTGGTCAACTAACTCTTCAAAGCTATTATTTCTTCAAATACTACCTTTCTTGAATTCTCTCTATGTCCTCCTTCTGGAACTTGTTTGGCTCCCTTTTCTATTCTCCATGACTTTTAAACTCTTTTTCACTTTTCCATACTTTTAACTGTTCTACATTCTGGGTATATCTTCTAGTGTGCAAATTCTCTCTTTAGCTGTGTCATATCTGATATTGAACTATCTACTGAGTTTTTATTTTCAATGACTTCATTTTTCATTTCTGGGGATCATATCTAATTCATTTTCAAAGAATACTGTTGTTCTTCTTTTATGTCTTGTTATTTGCTTATGACTCTAAAACTTTGTCTTATATATTTAATACTTTAAAATATGCTTATTCAGTAGTGTTCATTAGATTGCTGTGCTTATAAAGATCTTGAAAATCTAATCTTCCTTTTTGTGTGCTAATCCTCATTTTTTTAATTTTGCTATCATTAATGTACAATCACATGAACAACATTATGTTTACTAGACTCCCCCTATTATCAAGTCCCCACCACATACCGCATTACAGTCACTGTCCAACAGCGTAGTAATATGCTATAGAATCACTACTTGTCTTCTCTGTGTTATACTGCCTTCCCAGTGTCCCCACCACTGCATTATATGTGCTAATCATAATGACCCTTTTTCTCTCTTATCCCTCCCTTGCCACCCATCCTCCCCAATCCCTTTCCCTCTGGTAACTGTTAGTCATTCTTGGGTTCTTTGAGTCTGCTGCTGTTTTGTTCCTTCAGCTTTTTCTTTGTTCTTATACTCCACAGATGAGTGAAATCATTTGGCACTTGTCTTTTTCTGCCTAGCTTATTTCACTGAGCATAATACCCTCTAGCTCCATCCATGTTGTTGCAAATGATAGGATTTGTTTTCTTCTTATGACTGAATAATATTCCATTGTGTGTATGTACCACATCTTCTTTATCCATTCATCTACTGATGGACACTTAGGTTGTTTCCATTTGTTAATCCTCATTTAATAAACATTTAAGTGACAGTTTCCTTTGTAATTATGATTTTTTTTCTGCATAAAGCTGTATTGTTTCCATTTGGTCCGTGGCTTGGGAGAGGGATCCAAGGTGGTTAAAAAACTGTAGCTGCAGGGAGAGGCTTAGGCAGAAACCTTGACATCTGGGGGATGCCAGAGGAACCCCTCTATGGCTGCTGCACTCCAGAGGCTCCTAGTCATGCTTGAGGGTGAGCCTTCCAAAGAGATACTCACCCAGTCCAGCCTGGGGCCCAGGCAGCCTGTGGAGGTTGGTCAGGTGGTCACCCATCTTCTTGATGAGTTTCACCTCCTTATCTAGGAAGTGGTTCTTCATGAAGTTACAGAGATGGGGCTCTGAGTGTTCACAACCCAGAGCATGCAGATCTGAAAGGGCCAGTTCTTCTCTAGGACCATGGTGGCTTCCGTGGCATCCAGGGTTTTACCCCACTCATCTTTGGAGGGCTTCTGCATGACCTTGAAGAGGGTGTGACCACAACACTGGTTTTGCATCTTCCAGAAATGTGACACCATCTCGCTTCTGCTCAGCCAGCTCTCAGAGAAGTGGCCCATGCTCTCCAGGGCCACATTATCATGGTGGAAATAGAAGCCCAGAGAGAGGTAGGTGTAGGAGGTGCAGATACAGGTTGACCAGGCAGGCGGTTGATGGCAGCCTCCACTTCGGTAGATTATTTCTGATGAATCTGGGAGCTCATGGTTGCTAGGCAGCAAGGAGCTAAGCTCAAAACATGGTTTGGGTTGGCTCCGGTGACAGAGGATGACTAGAAGGTGACAACTGAAAGAGGTTGGAGGATGGTTGGAGACTGGTAGAAGGGACTTACCTGGGTCTGTTCCTTCCGAGAACTGTTGAAGCAAGAGACAGAACCGTGGGACTGCCAGGTGCACTGCCTGTAATTATGAATTTTGAGATCATCTTCACTTAGCATAAGCTGTGGGAATTTTGAGAGATCTCTGTTAAGAGCATTTACTTACAACATAGTTTTCCATTTACTTCTGCAAGGCCAGGCATTCTAGGAACATGATGTAACTCAGGACCAGGCATTCCAGGAGTATTCTATACCCAGGACAACTTTTATGTCAGTTTCTTGGCTTGGGTGGTGGTGGTGGGGGGGAGGGGTCTAATAGTTTAAATTTAATCATGTGGCATTGTCCCTATTTATAAATTCTTAAGGGAGAGTTCTTCTTCCTACTTAGAGTCAAGGTTAAAAGTTTCCTCATTGTTGGAGCTTCCGGCATCAGCACTCTCTGGAGGACTCGTGCCGGGGCATGACCATCAAAAAGCCTCCACAGGGATCTGGGCGATGCTGCGGTTGTGGCTACATCCACCCCACCATTTCCTGGACTTGCCATTGGAATGAGGAGGGAGATGTCTAGGCTGGCATGTGCATACAGTGAGACAACGAATTTGACCGGATCTGTACTGTTGGAACTCAACCAGGAGTTGGGAGGGGTGCAAGTTGTAGCGCTCCAAAATCTTATGACTACAGGCTATCTACGGTTAAAAGAACATATGGGATGTGAACAGATTCCAGAAATGGGCTGCTTTAATTTGTCTGATTTTTCTCAGACTGTTCAAGTACAGTAGGACAATATCCGTCATATCATAGACAAATTTTCACAAATGCCTAGGGTGCCTAAATGGTTTTCTTGGCTTCACTGGAGATGGATGGTAATTATAGATTTGCTTTGTTTATGTCACCGTATTCCTATTATGTTGATATGTGTGTGCAAATTAGTTAGTAGTTTAAAACCTATACTTACTTAAGGGACTCTACAAGAAGATATGTCAAAGAAATAATCAATCCACCCATGTTTTCTTCCATATGCTACCTCTATAGCTTTTCTTCTTCCTTCCTAATTACAACCCTTAAATAGAATTCGTGCCTCATATCGAATTTACCGAGTATCATAATTCCTCCAGGTGGTAAAGATACCTTGAGACAAGTGCTGGGCATAGAAGCCACAGGGCATAAATCTGCAAAGAAGTAAAAAGCTAACCTTTTCAAACAATATGGCCTCTCTCTCACTTGCCAACTTTACATTTCCCTATATGGCCCCGGAAGATGACTGGTTAGCCAGAGACGGGTAAGATTCCTCAAGGGAGGAACAACCTAAGACAGGCACAGTCGCAGGGGGGCCATCAGGTGAGAAATTGGGGATCAACAGAGGTGAGGCTCAGAACCTCATCCCCCCTGCTTTGAGAGAAATCTTCTGCATCCGTGGATGTTTTGCTGCCCTTGTCTAGCTTGGATTAATACTTAGTCCATAGGCACACACCTGATCATCTACATTTGCCCTCTTACAGCACTAAACTATGTTTTCTACCTTTATCTTGCATCTACCTACCACTTCAGCATTTTATTAAAAATAAAAATAATAATAATAATAAAGGGAGAAATGTGGGATCAACATATAAATCAAGTATAAAAATCAAACAAATATTCATATTTGACCTGATTGTTTATAGTTCATAATGCGTGATCAAAACCGAAAGTTTCTGTGATGAATGCCCTTGTACTGTTCACCATGTAAGAATTTATTCGCTATGTAAGAATTCGTTCACCATGTAAGAACTTGTTCGTTATGCTTCAGAAGATTGGAGACTGACGAGAATTAGGCTTGAGATGGATTAATGATTGTACATTGAGCATTGACCCCCCCTATACTGAATTTTATTGTTGTTAACAACCATTTGATCAATAAATATGAGAGATGCCCTCTCAAAAAAAAAAAAAATTTCCTCATTGTTTACCTCTACTGGTCAGTGAGACCTAGTGTATG